ACAGCCTGTAATTGATAATATAATAACAAAAAAATAGTGGAAAAGTATTTCTATTTTCTTGAAAAAGAATTCATAAAATTTGAGTCTCAGTTTCACACACGACTCGTGTCGCATTGAGTTGTTGAAGCGATACGAGACATATACGCGTTACAATTGAAAATTTGGGTCACGCGATCATCATGGTAGCGTGAATTTATCTCTGATAAATAAGTAAACCGCGTATTATACGACGTTTCACAAAATATTAGCACCGCGCATTCGAATTGAGCCCCGTCGTAGGTAAGCCGTAAGGAGATCATAAGCTCCGTATATATTACCGAGCGTGCAATTAACGAACGGACGGTTTCCGGCCGTAACCGAAAACTAGTTCGTCGCGCAACGCGCGAGTTCAACGCGAAACTCGGAGCACCGCCGCAGCGGCTGATATTGTAATAAACGGTGCGCGCGAGGCACCGCAGCACCATTAATTCACGTGCAGGATCGCGCGAGGAAGGCGAGCGGGTGGTGGTCCGCGGGGGCCATAAGAAGGCGAAATTTAGTGAGCCACTGGTGGGAACGTACAGACCTCTAATGGCCATTCCGATGACTATGGTTCTCGACCACAGTGGCAGTCCCCCTTTCGACCCCCGTTTCCCCCAAGTTCCTCACAGGGCGAGCCGCGTAGTCCCTCACGCTGCGTCCCTTCTATCGTTCTAACTCGCGTGCGTTCTCCGTCACTCCTTCTCGCTTCCTATCGGGATCCTGCCCTCCCCCCTCGCCCGCGTATACCCCACCCCTCTCTTCCTCCATCCCACCCGCGCGCGTATGCAACGGCGTTCCAGCAATTACGCATCGCCGCAGTTAAATACAATGGCCAGGACAACGACTCTGTAATTTATCCCCGGTTTGGGCCACCGCCCGTGCGTTTGTTTCCGACGACGGCGGAGGTCGTCGTTGCCCTTTCCGCGCGCGTTCCGCGACCCATTCGACCCCTCATCCCAGCGTTCGCCACGTTTAAATTAATGATAAGTAATAATGCTGCTGGCACGACGGACGTCGTCGCCCGGCCCGGTGAAATACGGGCCGGGTGATTATCAGGCGGATTATACAAAAATATCAGGTCCTGCAGCAAATTGTTTCCTGTTTAGAAAATCAACATATAATAGTATAGATGGTCCGATAACGTCGCGCGAATGTAATTATCGCTTAAAGAGTAAAACGCGCGGTGTGCATTTTGACGACGTAAACGCGCTCACAGTTCGTGCGTATACCATACGTATGTCAATTGTGAATCACTATATTACGGGCGATAATCGACGATTCCGTGAATTATTCCATCATGGCGCGCGCACATGAATCTGTAATGACAGAGGGACCGTCGTTACTATTCATTCCCGTTTCTTCGGCATTTAAATTTATGATGATTTACAATATATGATACGCACAGGCGACAACATACACGCACACGGAAGTGCATATTTTTAAAGCACACGCGTCGATAAAAGCCGAACAACGTGAATTTGCAAGTCTTACGAGCTTCGCGCGGAAAGAGAAAGAGAGCGAACGAGAGAGATGCGCAGCTTACTTCCCGTTCGCCATAATTAATTGACGTATGAGTCGTTAAGGAATGTCGATTAGCGAATGAACGATCGATGCTTAAGGCATTAAAGTCGCCAATCGCTTTAACGATAATAGAACGCGATATAACAGGACCGTATGATAAACATTTGTGGCACGATTTGCGTCGTTCTCATGATCATCACGCGGCACAGTCCCAGTGTCTACTCTTTTATTCCTAATAACAGTGCCTTTATACGAGTAGTTATTATCTTACTCGATTATACTTCTATTACGTGTGCGCGACATAAAAAAGTTCATTACATTAAACGCTTTTTAACATATGTAATACGTCGCAATCTGATAAATTCCGCAGCTCTTTAAGGACGACTCCAGGCAAAAATACGAATGTGATTGTGAAAAAAAAAATTTCAGGAGTTTCAGAATTTCTTATATTATATGTACTTTGTATTACTTTTTAATATTCTAGAGCTTCTTCAAAATCATATTTTTGGCAAACAGAGGATAATACGTTTGTAGCTAAAAAGATATAACGGTCTTTTTGCATAAAAAATAAAAAAATAAATTCTTTTAAAAATCTCAAAGCTGTCTTAAGTTCATGTATTTATACACGGAGAGAATTTTTTTTTAAATTTACCCTGCAAATCATGTTAATTATAGGACAATATAGTATTTAGGCAAATTTTACTGTGCACTACAATAAGATTTCGCAGTAAAATTTACCTAAATACTATATTGTCTCACAATTAACATGATTTTCAGGGTAAGTTTTAAAAGAAAATTTTTTCCGTGTAGAGTCTATATAATAGCATCTTATCTTTGTCTCTAAAAAATATCATTACGATTACACCATTTTTTATTAACTTTACATATTTATATACCGTATAAATATTGTCACATATATTTAAGCTTTTTTCTGATACATCGGAATTAAGTGCGATATTTCCCATCTATTTTTTACAATCACACATGATCCTTTCGCGACTGCCGATAGCTTTGCTGTACACGATGCCGAAAAAAAAAACGCGCGCTCGTAAATCCGATCTCTGCGAGCACGTAAATGCATACGTGTGCACGCAATATCGTCTAACAGGTGCGCACCTATGTATGTACCTATCGCTTATCCCGCGTCGATCGCCACAAGTCCGCGTGCGAAACACGCTAGCGAATATTGACGTACCTATATTGTCATTCTCGGTCGAATTCCGTTAGAAATACCTCAAAGCCGACGTTTGCCGATTCACCGTCCTCTCGGGGAAATCAAACTCTGATAGGAAACAAAATTTTCTCCAAATTAAAAGAAAAAATATATATAACGTTGGATAATATACGCTAACAAATAATCGTATAGCAAATCTTGCTTCAATATAAATTGCAAATAAAAATTTATAAAACTTCTTATATTAATATTATTCATTAAATATATGTTAGAAAAATATCAAATAATATTATTTTATAAATTATATCTACTGTGAAATTTTACTCATATCTATACATTTAATTATGTATATACATTTAATTTATCATTGAACTTAATACATTTCTGGATTTGCAATCCGGATATGCATAACGTGCTAATAGATTTCAACGCGCTAAAGTAGAGCAAAACTAATAGCAGTAACGGGGATCACATGTCACATTGGCCAGACTTCCACTTGAGCGCCTTCCATCGTCGGCCGCGCTCGAGATACCGGACGGCTCGTTAGTTCGGGATCAATTAGTGCGTCGCGAGGCGTTTCACCGAAAAACGGGCACTTTGAGAGTTTTCCCGATGAAACGCCTTTCCAAAAACGTGACTTTGTTGCGTGCGCGCGCGCATGTGAAGAGCGTGGAGAACGCCGGTATGGTAACGATGCTAATTAACGCGAGGATAATTTTAGTTGAGTGCTTATACCGCAGTAGCATGGCGGCATTTCTAAGCGCCTCTCGGCGGTGTAATTGCTGAACGTTTAATTGCCGGATTGAACCATTATATGATTATTGCATTTATTTCTGTTATTTTCGCGTAAGTGTAACGGTAGGGGAAAATAAGTTTCTTTAGAATTATCGTGCTACGTCCGTAATCGATCATTATCTTTATTTTTATAACTTATTGCGTTACTTGCAAGATTTGCAGCTAATTTTCTTCTTAATCTTATTTTATAATTTATAACTGCTTAAAATATTCCCTGCATATAAATTAATAATTATGTCACTTGTTTAATTAATAATCGAGTCATAATACATGGATATATTATAAATATATGCAGGAATTTTAAAGTAACATGTCTTGTTATTTTTGCCATCGATTTTTCAAATAATTTATTAATTTTATTGAGAAATAAATTTTTAATACTTATTTTTTTATAATAAAAAAAGTGCTTATTAGTCATTCTATAATTAACTATTATTAACTGTTATTGTTATTTGTTGACATTGTGTTGTTTTCAAACTTTGTTGATTTATTTATATAATTATTATGAAATATTTTCTATCATTATTGATTAGCAATAAATTCTGATAGATGAGGAAAAGGTAGAATACGCGTGTTGATGATTCTTTTTATTTCGATTTAATTGGCGACGAAGTGTAAGCGGATTACATGGAATACGGATCGCTTATTGCGGAAAACAGTGGGATATATACGTTATACGTACTTTCTATCTATAATTGCAAGCTGTATAACATATGTATCTAGGCTTGTATATAAGAATGAGGAATATACAATATGAGATCGTTTCACGCAGTGGTAGTACAATCGCCATCTAATCTATAGCGTATATCTTATAATACATATAGACAAGAACACACGCTATCGCTATATTTACACATTATGTACAAATAAATAACTTATGCTAAATTGGTAGGAAACATTTCACAAGCTAGCAGAATCCTATCTTATAGTTATATTAGTTTATATATATATATAAACTAATTAGATATAAATTTCAGCATTCGTTAAATATGATTTAATTTGGGGGAATGTTTTTCTCCTCCTAGACTATGATACAAATATGTACCTTCTTCATATAACTAAATTAATTTTCTTGACTTGTGTTTAAAAATGTTGAACAGTGTCATATACACAAATGCAAGAGAGGATCTTTTTCCTTTATAAGGAATTAATTACACGGCAATTGCTAATAGATGCAGAGTATTATCGCGAAACTTTTTGTGAGAATAAAATATATCGAGTTATAACATATATGAACACTCAGATAAATGATTAACTTTTCCTGAAGATCTGTTCTTTCAGCATACTTTTACAAAGTACATATAATTTTGTTGATTCAAAATGGTTCGATTTATACTTTGTATAAATACTTATCTAGTTTAAAAGCACGAAAATATTTAAGCCAAATAATTTTTTATAAAAATTTTTTACCAATTTAAAAAAAAAATCCTATCATTAACTTATATCGATTTACTTGTAAATATATATAATAATTTGATTATTATATATACATATATATTTATATATTAATTGCACAAAGTTGTTACGTGGATTTTACTCCTCGTTAAGGTTATTTTTATTCTTCGTTCTCGTTATCAGTCTTTATTCAATCATAATAATTATTATTATATAATCACTATGATTTGATTTCAGAATTTTTTCATAAATAATATTTTAACGGTTTTTCTCTTTGTCGACTGCGCTCAACGCTGACGACGACGGCTTCTATGAGCTCGCATACGCAGTCACGTGTCTCATTCTAATCTCTGACTCTCCGTTTCGTCGCTGGCCATTTGAATTTATGCGAGTCTCAATGATTCCTTCCGGTTACGATCTCCTCGCCGTCCTCGTCCACCGGCACAGTGGAATGATTGTAAAGACCTTGCGCCATTAGCTGGAGGGCCAATGGATTTTTCTGTCCGCTCGCCTTCTTTATCTTCGCCCGCTTATTCTGAAACCAGATCTTGATCTGCGCCTCATTCAGGTTCAGTTCCCGCGAGAGCTGCTGCCTTCTTCTCTCCGTCAGATATCGATTCTCCGTGAATTCCCGCTTGAGCCTGGCCAGTTGTTCGGCGCTGAAGGCCGTCCTGGGCCTCTTCTCTTCCGGCGGGCTGCTCTTCCCGCTCGGCGAAGAACGTTTCACTCGCCTCGTGCGCGGTCCTGAAACGACAAAAGGAGAGAGCCTCGCATTAATCTTCACGCGCCGGACTTTTGTGACTGAAGTTCGACTGATTGTGAGGCGGCGAGGCGGGCGGCATTATCGCGGGGAAAGTGGGCGTTCTCATCAATTTGTCCACACACCGCCGTGATTCAGCGTTTTCGCGACGACGAGATCAGCGCGCTTGCTCGCTCGCCCGCTCGCCTCGTCCATGTACGAAGGACACTCTCGAGGGGAATAACTATATCTGAGCAACCGCTTTGGAATTTAGCGAAGGCGGAAATAGTTGGCCCGACCGCGGCGTATATCTGAAAATTACACCTGCGCTCGCCGTGCGAATTGCAATTTTACGCGACTGCTAATGCCTACCGTTTATATTCTCGTATACGACTTAACGTGATACGGTTATGTTATATTAAAAAAAAAAGTCAAGGATCGAGTCACGAGCGTGCGTTCTTTCTCACGTTAACGATCGCGGAATTTCGCGAGGCATGCTTTTAAGCGCGATAACGAGTATATAACTCCGATCGCCCTGCGATCCCGCGTCCCGTACGAAGGTAACGTTCATTCGCCGAGAATTCTGAGCATTAGCACTACACGATTTTGATTTTTACTCAACATAGATAACGCAACTATGTAGAGGTGGAACACATCCGCGTGCCTCTGTGCGCACGCTGCAGTTATCGCCGATGTTATTATTACCCACCGGGGAAACCGTTAACCAATCGTTTCAGCTGTTTGTACTGGTTTGTAGTTTAAAACATATATCGCTCCGCGACAAGACGTAATTATTACCGATAGTGCGTAAAACACATATAATTATCCGCATTATTATTGCTCCTGAAAGAAGCCATGTGTTCAGACACTTGGTAATTTAAAAAAGATATCTGATCGTTTCACATATCGATCGCTAATTGTTACTGCCAACATTATAATTTGCCTTTAAAAATACCAGACATTATAATTTCGTCACCGCGAGAAAACGCAGTCGCGATCTTTTTGCCACAATTATCGCTTCAGGTTCAATCATAAATAATGAATGGCGTCCCATTATATTGAACGACTATATATATGATAATTTCTAATCTATTGGTTCTCAATCTTTCGTCTCTTTGTCATTAATAATATTGTTGTACACGTGTATTTCCCAGAAATTCCTCGTTCAAACGAACTCCCGCTGTTCGCGGCGCGACGGAAACGCAGCGGGAGATGCGAAAAGAGTCTGAGATGAAACTCGCCGAATTTTTAACGAAGTAAAACATATTTATTATCTGTACAAAGTAAATTATTAAGTACGCTAAAGGCGCAAAGAATTCGAATGTGATTAATATGATTGCATCGAGAGCATTGCAATATTGCACGATACGTCGATCACGCAATTTCGTATTCGAATGCGGACAAAACAAGTGGCTTTGTTAATATTTCGAATGCCTCGACGTGAGAGTGTGATAATTAGATGGCGATTGGAGATCGCAGGTTTCTATATCTGATTTTTTTTTAATATTTAAAAATCTTCGCAATCATAAGGCCAACATTTATGAAAAAATATTATATAGGGACTCACATAAAAACGATCAGAAATAATTAGAAAATCATTCGAATTCAATGTTGTATATTGCACTATTCATTCCAATAATTTTTTTTTATTACTTTAATAGTATTTTTTCACAAAGTAATATAATTACTTTTATCTATCGAGAAGCTCAAGATAAGAAATAAAATTATAATTAAAATTATAATTAAGGCAAGTGCATGTGAATACAAATTTTGATTCTGTCACTTTTCTCAATAGTACATATTGTGTCTCAGTAGTTTATTGTATCTTGAGTAGTATATTGTACCGATATATAATTTTTTCCCTAGAAACATGAAAAGTGAAAACTTTTTCCATCACTTTCGGTAGCAAAAAATTTCACTTTTCCTCTTTGGAAAAGGTTACCTGATCACTACTCTGAAGAAAGTTCAATACTAAAGTAAAGATGGCCCTAACGGCTCATCGTTCTTGTGAATATACCGATCGCTCGTAAAGAAAGTGAATAGAGATGTTGATTTCTTAATTGTTTAATTTGCAATTATATTGATTTTGTATCCACTAAATCTTTTCTAAAAATAGAACGAATTAACGGAAATAACATGTATTGATACGTGCAAAGTTTTATTCTTATTTGTTTTTCTCTCTCTCTCTCTCTCTCTCTCTCTCTACGTATCACAAAATGGTACAAAATGTTACACGAAATCACACTCAGGGGTTAACGCTCGACGATGAAGAGGCTCGCGGAAGATAAGTGGGCGATCCTCGACAATTAGTAACGAGATTATCGGGTCGAGACTCACGGACCACCCCGAGTATAGGAGAGGCCGATGGGCATTCACCCTGATAGGAGAAGGAGAGATAAACGGAGAGGCGTACGAAGGGAGGGGAAAAAGAAGCGACGAAGAAGGCGGAAGAATGGCAGTGCGTCGTATGTGGGGCAGTGATTGCAGAGGGTAGGTTCGCAGAATGTAGGTTCTACACAATTAGGTTCTGCGAACGAGCGCAGGTGGCGTCGGGCCGTACGTTAAGCTTCGCCTCAGCTATACTCGCAATTAGATGTAGCGATCCTTTTCGTACGTAGTTCCCGTGATCTCCTGCGCGGTGCCGCAATAACTTATTGCGGTAATATCGAACGGCGCGGGATAGACATTAGGCCTCGATATGTTGGCCATCACATAATTTATTTGTGGGGCGAACTGTTATCTAACGCGAACGCGTAATTAGATGCTCGCGAGAGGCAGAGATCACCGCGCAATTTGTCGGCGAGGCGTCGCGGATAATCACGACTTACGTCCGCGCACACGAGCTGGACGCGCGAGCTGCAGGCGCGCGGAGTTCGCTCGAGCGATTAATCATTTAAATAAGTTCATCGATGCGCGATCGCGACGGTTACGATCCGCGCGATCCGCGTACGTCACGCCGATCCGCACACTCTCGTCTCGTGTACTTGTATACCATATTAAGGCATCGCGTTCTCCATGCATTCGTGAGCTTCGGGTCTATTTTGTCCTTTCTTTCGTTTTCTTTTTTTTTTCGTCGAAACGAATAGAGTCGCTAAACCGAGAAAGTATAATTCATGCGAAGGGACCGCGATTAAATATGTAAAAAAGCGGCGATTACACTTAAGCTCCCGTTAAACCGCGCGGAGTGACTTTTTCCTCGATCCGTGACTTCCAGGTACATACAAAGCTTGCGATAAGACCCGGACCAAAGCCACGTGTTTTGCGCTCGTGAAAGGATTTTTTACTTATCTTCATGCCGCATAATTTTTCAAACGCTTTGGTAGGGATTTTAATTAGCGGTCGATCCTGATTTTGTAAACTGGAGCGCATTATGGAGCGCATAAGTGAACAAAACATCTTGATAGACATTTCCGACGTTGCAATCACGCAAGTTCTCTTCTTGCATGTGCAAAGCTAAACGCAAAGTCACGTACCACGCGCGTATGGAAAATCTGATGAATTTCTAACTTGTTTGCTTTTTAATGTGCATCGTTAGACATTACTAGTTCAATAATTAAGCGCGAAATTGAAAGGTAAAATTAAACAATGCAATTTCTGATATTCTTAAAATAAGGTGCGATTTTGACGCATTGAAATTGCTCTATGAAATTACATATCGATGTTCTGACATTGTTAAATAATAAGAAAAATGTCTGTCGAATTTACCGGAGGATGGTCGGTCCGAGTATCTGGTGCAATACACCCACGCGGGCCACAATTGGCTCTGGCCATTAGTGCCGTTTTTCTGGCTTGTCGGCGTGCTACCGGTTCCGCCGCCGGATGCGTTGTCGCCGTTTACAGACTCGCCGCCGACCGTGGATGATGTGGAACACAAGGAGGACGGACCGGTGACCGTGCTACTGGTACCCGAGCTCCTGCTGGACGCGAGACTTTCAAGACTGCCGCTTCTACTCAATCCATTCTGCCTGTGCAAGGGTGACGTAAGACCATTGTGAGGCGAGAAATTATTGTCCTTTTCTTTGTGGACCGACTGCGGTGACAATCGGCTGGACGATAGACTCAGGTCACGTGGAAGCGGAAGCGGACTTGTTCGCGGTAAAGGTGATACGATGGAAAGAGTTGGTTTTGTTAGAAGAGCCTCGCGACCGAAATCTGGCTTGAGAATATTGACGACGCTGAAGCGCAATGGTGCCTCGGTGCCTTGCTGGCGATCTGGCTGGCGATCCTGATGCGGCACAACGTGGCTCTCTGGCGATAACAAGCGATGGTGATGATGATGGTGGTGGTGGTGGTGGTGACTGGCGAGCCCCAGTCGCAGACTGTAAGTGGAATCCATGGTCACAAGTGCTACGCTCATTTTAATATATCGAAATACTTTTGTCCGATAAAATGAAAAAACGAAAAGTTTGTAATGGCACTATATTGTTGCGACCATATGAAAAGGAAACACACGTTTTCACTGTCCACTACTTAATTGTACCGCTCTGTCGCTTGATTAGAAAAATCTAATCGTTGTCACGTGTAGCGCGGTCTTGTAAATCTCTGAATTAATTTCAACAAAAGTTTCTCATACACTATTCACGTGTCACCAATATCATAGTCGAATATTCCATACGCTGCATTCCTCCGAAAGCTACCACGAATCCTTTTGTGATCGCACGTTTTTGTGATTCACTGTTCAATCAATCCTTTAAAATTGTCCATTATAAGTTTCAAACATATGTCGAAAACATATTGCAAAAAAAAGGGTCACGTAGAAGTTCTTAGAAAATATTCATGCGTCCAGCACGGTTTGGTGTCCCGATTCGTGTTAATTATCGGCTCGTCTTTGGAGCCGGTCCAAGCCAAGGAGTCCTGCTATCGGCTTTTCCCGAGGTTTCCGAGTACTCCGACGAGTGCTGTGACGGGTCTGACTGGCTGTCCATCCGTCGCTCAGTGATGTCTAAACTAGGGGACCCGGGGTCCCTACTTACCGCCTGTCCCTCCTCACCCCTGTCCCTTCACTCCTCCTACGCCGCAGTCCGGAGTGCAGTGCACTAGACACCCTCGATTGTATCTCTATTAACTCTTCGGTCAAAGGCTCCGCCCACTGACGGTAAGGTGTACCGTACTCCCTTCCGCTTGTCGTCATCCCCACCGCCAGTGGTACAGGTAGTAGGGGACTGCACTCACGAATTTCCTGCGGATCAATGTTGCCAAACACCTTCCTCCAGGCTCCCAGTTTCGCGAACGAGATTCGTCTCTCTCGTTAATTCTACACTTTTGCCATAACCAGTCAATTAATAGGCGAGGAATTCGACCTTGTTTATTGACGTGTCAAAGATATCATTTACTATATTTACGTAAGTACATGTTACATTTAAACACACAAATCATTTATTATATTGACAGGCTGATCCACATTACTTATATGATGTACTGTACAATTTAATTTAGACACACGACGTCACTAAAATATCTAAAAAAGAAGCGAAAAGCACTTTGTTTTAATGTGATATGATACTAAAAGATACCGTCAATTGTATCACAACTTTGTCACATGTTATTACAATAGATCGAAGCTACATTCGAATGAAGGTGTACATGTATACATAAATCTCATCTGTGCATAGAAATATAAACATTTTATATAAAATTATTTTTATATTTACAACTTCTGTTTAGGAAATTACTACAAAAACAGATAGACACAGCTGCTGTTAAATATCCAGTACGAAATTTTGTTTACAGAGATTTACAGTCCATTTAACATTGTGTGCGCACTTGGAATACACGAATATCCGCGCCACTGCGGAACAATAACGAGAATATCCACTTCTCTCCGCCCCATTTGCGCTTTTCCCACCACTGAGTCTGACTCTCAGGTCTCGCCCACGTCTTTGCCCCTCCCCTAATCATACCACGCCCACTCTGTCATCCCTCCCATTTGTGTTCTACCCACTACTCCATACTTTTGTTCCTCCCCACCGTGGCCAGTGTTGTCGACTCGATCAGGTTGAAGCCAACTAATTCGTTTCTTCAGGCCGAAGAGCGCTCTCTTTTTCTCTCTCCTGGACTCTCGTGCCTTTTCATCTCAGTGAGACGTGGATTTTATCGTCGCGCGTCGGAATCGCTTCATACAAAAATTTGCACGAACACCATCAGTGCCATGACCCGCTATTATTCTCCTTTTTTCTTCGGCCCCGACGGCTTTGCGACGGTTAACGAACAAATGTATTATCCACCCTATGACAGATGCCGCTCCCCTTCCTTGTTCTTTCTCCAATGTTCTTTATTTTTCTCTCTCACTCTCCATCTATGTTGTACAATTTTTTTCCACCATTATATCTCAGCGTAACTTATTCCTAGATCGCTTAATCGTAATACCAATGCTTCTAAGAGAGACAATTGAAAAAGAGAGGTATACAGGCGAGTCTTTTGTTTGGCACTTTACGTGACTTTACGATGCAGCTACCCGTGTAATGTATCTTCCGCAATCAGTTCTGCTTCGTAAATCTTAGCACGCATCGCATTTGAATATTTAAAAATTCAAAGAGCACCTTCGGTATACTTTATCAGAACGCGTGAGATCTCGAAGTATCTACGTGATGTATTTGCGTAAAAGTCGGAAACTGTTAATACGACAAATGTAAAGCAAGTAGTGTTATCTACTATTCTGACGTGTTTTCCGCGATCCGTTGTAATTCCGTTCTCTTTTACCTACATGCTACGCGATTTATCAGAAATCAGACGAAATCGGAGCGTCAGATGAGACTTTTTGTTCGTCGAAGCCGTGCTTTTTTGCTCGCAGCGCGATCACCATGCGCGAAACAACGCGATGACGATACTCTCGTCTGTTAATCAACGGAACAAAATTACGGTCATTAGCTCTTTAACATCTAATCGCGTACGGGATGCGTTCTTCCTCCGTGTTCGGAGCGTTATTCGATCCTGACATGAAAGCAGCGAGCAGCTACGCATTAGAAACACGCGAGATGTATAAGGACTCGTCGTCGTTAAAACGGCTGCAATTAAAGCCCGTAACGAAATCCGCCTCGCGCGATGTAAAGGTCGCACGCGATAAGTCAGGTGTTCCGCGCGGTAATTGGCGGAGACACTCGACCCGCCGTTCACGCCTAGAGGAACACGCCTGGTTGACGCGACGACGACGCAAAAATGAGACCTGATGGGAACATCCATAGAAGATCGATTTGCAAATTTCATGAAAGAGAAAATTTCTCTGCAGATTATCTAAGATACAGATTATCTAAAGAAAATAAGTACCGATAAGTAAACTATCATAAATTTAGAAATGTTATTCATCAAGAAAATCATTTTAAAAAAGCATAGAGAAAATATAAAAACTGCTTATTTTATTTAACTAAACGCATAAATTCTCATTTCAATAAAAAATATTTTTGTTTGATTTGTACAAACGACTTATACATATATTTCTGCATATCAGATAAAAATTGAAGAATGTTTTCTTTTCATGAAATGCATATCAGATACATATTTTTACGGCTTTTTTCTATGAAAAGCTCGTTATCCAATGCTCGTTATCCAATGCAATCCGTGCGATGATTTAGCAAGTTATGCGTTATTTCGAAAAATTCAAGGCGCCTGCAAAGTAATGAACTATAACCAATTATTTTGCCAAGTGTGTGCCGAGTTAATAAGCTCATTAATGCTATTTGATAGAATAATATGCAGCAATGAGCGTGTAATTAACGCGATGCACTGAAGTACGTTTTCAAATGGAAGTTATTAAGTGTATTTCGTATACTCGACAAATCAACATTTTTATCAGCGATCGGTTGATCATCAGCGCTCGCCCATAGTTTTGCCTTACGTAGAATGTCATAAATTACAGGAGTCATTTTTTACACCAATTATTGTCCATATATTGATGGCCTTTGAATAATACACCACAATTTACCAGTCGTTGGTTCCACTGGTGTTAATGACTTATTTGTATCTTTTTTCATCAACATACTGTTCATCACATTTAATTACTCCTGCTGCTGATCGTCCGACAGTTTTGCAATAATTAAACTCGCCGGTCAACGTAACGTAGCAATAGATCATGTAACATTGGCTTAAAATAAATGTAAAATGTCATTTGTTAACGGAAGAGATACGAGTTACAGTCTTTAAATTTACAATTTTCGATTACACAAAATATGAAAGTATAAATGTCTATTAACAGTAAATGTCTGAAAACGGAGTACGAAATTAAATATATGTACATATTTTTTTTTACATATTTTACATATTTATTACTTAAATGTGTTTTTTACTTTCTTACATACTTATTACTTAATTTTCTTTGCTTCACTTTCGCGTATCCGCCAAACCCGAATATATACGATCATTTTCATTATATCGGACTCATTACATTACGGTACGCTCAAAGCAGCATGAGAGAAAATTATGAATTTTTTTTTAAGCAATGAACGGGGTAACAGGGAAGGTACCGCAATTCTCTGTGATTATCGTCCGCGCCGCTGCAACAACTGACGTGGCTACCCCGAGGTTGTACCTTTTATACCGGTCTCGAGAACCGGCGTCCTCAGTCGCCACAATGTAGACTATAATGTCGGCGAATTGTGCGCGCCCGCCCGTTTTACGTTTCTCGTCCTTTCGCGTAAAGACCCGAAATTCCAAGAAGGAGAAATATACAATTCCCTGTGACGGACGCACGACTTCAGACGGCCGATACCTTTTTGCTTGCGCGTACGAGCGCCCTTCATCGATGACTGTCGTTGCCTGACTTCTGTCGGTTTTTTTCGACCCGACAAAAGACGATCTCCTTTGTTTCCCCTTGTCGCAAAGACTACGATGGAGCGCGTAAGATCGTCGTTACGGCCGACGGTTTTATTAATGGCCACACCTTCAAGGGACACCAGCTGCTGCGTGAGCCGCGGGGCGACCATTAGCCACAAGATCGCCTCGTGTAGAAACAATAATAGAGATAGCAACCATAAATAACTGCAACGTGTCCATCTATCAATAGCGTCTAGCCAAGCTAAGTTGGTTTCAAGTATTTCAAATATGAAATTACCTCTGTGAGGATCGATTGTATGCACTAGGTTACCAAACTCCATTCGAATAGCTTCTCTTTCACTTTAGAGTATATCATCATTGCGTTAATTGATAAAGAAAATTCCAATGGAATCATTAATTTAATAAATAATAGAAAAAAACTTATTATTTTTTAATAATTTAAGTAATAATGTTGTATGTGAAAAGTTATATTATCAAGAAAAATGCAACGCCTAATCATAATAATCTTTTATATGATTTTATACTTCATTTTCACTGATAAAGATATACACTTTTATATTTAACAATAGATTACGTATATTTTTTTCTAATTCTGTTTTATTCTTAATTGCTATTATAATCTTAAAATTCTTTCGTCATTAAAATCGATGAAAGAATTTTAAAATTATTTATATCTTATACTTTATTAATTGATATGTTTTTATCAAACACATTTTGAAAATTATATATGGTATAAATGTAGCGTGACTACTGGGAAATCTTCAATCATCGTTATATCATATGTCATTCAATCGCAAATTACAATTCACAAGACTTGGCCGCGTCGTCAACGATTCAGACATAGATTATTACAAAACGCTCCTATTCAGGGCCGTCGGACCGTCGCTTGTTATACACATTGAGGTAGAGGCAAATCACCGAAATGCAAACCATAATCCCCTCGTTAGAATGCGCGCGATGCCGCGAGCTGGTCCGCGAAGTCGAGAGAGAGAGAGAGAGAACGCCTACGGCGAGACCAATCGCCGCTCTGGGACGTCGGGGATTGATTGGGTTTTTCGTCTCACGCGCGAATGTCGTCCCCCTACCCCAAAAGCGAGCAACGAGACGCGCGGGACTAGCGCGCGGCGGATCATTATTCCCCGAGCGCGATTTGTAAACGGGTTCTATTTATGGCACT